CTTAAAGATTAATCCCCAGTGGGTGAAGCTGGGTACCAGGACTGGCTACATAATTTGCAGAGCCCACTGAAAATGGAAATGTGGAACTCTTGGTCATGAGGAATGTCAGGCAGTTACAGCAGAGCATTAAACCAAGGGTGAGGCCCTTAGCGCCGGGGCCCTCTGTGACTGCACAGGTCACAGGCCCATGCAGCTGGCCCTGTCAGGCCCTGCCTGGTTTCATCCGCAACGATGGGGGAAGGTTGAAGGGGGAGGCACTAGATACTCATGGGTGGAGAGACCGCTCTGGCTGCAGTGTGGAGAGTAGGCCGCGGGAAGCAGGGGTGGTCGGGGCTGTTGGAGCTTCATGCTGAGATGGGGTGAGGTCGGCCCAGATGGGTGGGGAGGGGACGGGAGAGGAGTAGGGCCCTCTGTCTGGGGAGGTCGCCCTGTAGCTTCCTGTCCCTCTCTGTTTCCTGCTCAGCTTTTCTGCCTTCTCCTTGGGAATTCTCCTGGGACTGTCATTCTGGGATGAGGATGTTCTTTGATTCTACTCCCTTTGGTAGGGAGGGAAGCTTCCTGACTGGTGTCGGGGCTGAGAGCAGATTCCCCCAACTGGCAGAAACGTCAACACCGCAACCCCTCCCTCGAGGCACCGCCGCTATCCCATTGGGAACTGCAGCTTAGAATGTCCTGTTGAGTCACTTCACACCCAGCCTCTCACTAACAACCACAGAAAAAGTACAATATGACTTTATTTCTTAATTTAATGTTCAGGAGACAAGGATTGAACAACAGAACTTAAAAATTTTTAGACAACCTCCTATTTATTTGTTTTGCAGGTAGGGTCTCACTGTGTCGCTCAGGCTGTAGTGCCATGGTGCCATCTCTGCTCACTGCAACCTCCGCCTCCTGCCTCAGCCTCCCAAGTAGCTGGGACCACAGGCGGGCACCACCATGCCTGGCTAATTTTTTATATATTTGGTAGAGATGGGGTTTCACCACAGTACTCAGGCTGGTCTCGAACTCCTGAGCTCAAGTGATTCACCACCATGGCTTCCCAAAGTGTTGGCATTACAGGTTGAGACACTGCGGCTGGCAAATATAACTTCTTTTTTTCTTTTTTTGAGATGGAGTTTCACTCTTGTTGCCCAGGTTAGAGTGTAGTCGCGTGATCTTGGCTCACTGCAACCTCAATCTCCCAGCTCGAGGCATGAGTCAGCCTCCTGAGTAGTGGGGACCACAGGCATGCACCACAATGGCCTGGCTAATTTTTTGTATTTTTAGTAGAGATGGAATTTTGCCATGTTGCCCAATGGTCTTGAACTCATGGGTTCAACTGCGCCTCCCACCTAGGCTTCCCAAAGTGTTGGGGAAGGAAGGAAGGAAGGAAGGAAGGAAGGAAGGAAGGAAGGAAGGAAGGAAGGAAGGAAGGAGGGAGGGAGGGAGGGAGGGAGGGAGGGAGGGAGGGAAGAAATGAAAGAAGGAAGGAAGAAAGAGAAAGAAAAAGAAAGAAAGAAGAAAGAAAAAGTTGTTATTATAATGAAAGGAGGCAATATAGCTTAAAACCAAACTAAATCCAGCCACTTTGAACATCTAAAAGATGACAGAATAATAAAGCTCCATGCTGTTCTTTTCCACTAGAGTCTGTGGTAGTAGAGACACTAATGAGCCCTAGCTAATAAAGGGAAGCCAAGTAGAGGATGCAGAGTTACATTTTGTGCATGATAAAGTGGGAGAGGAGAACTAGATTTAGAGAAGGGGTAGTTCCCAGGCAAGGAGACTTGAGATAGTAGAAGTTGGGATATGCATAGAGCCAAGCGACGATCCTACAGACTTCATCTACCAACCCCACACTCTTAACAAAATATGCTACATTCACCATACCTTGCGAGTGGAGGTGCTTTCTGAGGAATGGAGAAATTCTGGAAAAGGCACTGAACTTCATGTTTCAGCAATGTTAAGCAGAGAAAGAGGGCAGGAACAGGAGATGAGATGGCAATGGGGCTGGGCTTCCAATTGAAATGGGAATTTGAATCCCAATGGGACCTTGAGAAAATAAGACACTCCACCACACCCGCAAAGAGAAATTCATAACAATGGAAGAATTGGGCCCAATCCTTCTGCAATCCACTCCCAGCCTCAGAGAGCAGAGAGTCCTCAAGTATGATGTGGGTCACTCAAGAAACACTGTGCTTCTGCAGGAAAGTAGCCCAGGGTGTATCTGGTCCCAGTTGTCCGAAGCCCAGGGATATGTATCTGGTGACTTCAGGATCTCTGGTCAAGCAAGCTGCCCAGTCATTGTTCAGCCCACATTAAGCCTCCCCAAAGAGAGGCTTTGATTGGATCTGATAGGCGTTACTCAGCATGGAGAAAAATTGATGCCACATCACCTCAAGGAGACCTAGATTCCTCCAGTTTCACCTTCGTGGGACTGCTTGTAACTTATGCACCTATCCTCATACAATTCCCACCAGCTGAGGAGATCAGGCTTACTCTCATTAACTAGTATATTATTGAGTTTGGGTAACTAGTAGGGGCTTTTGGAGCGATGAAGTAGTTGGGGCCTCTCTCCTCAAAGGATGGCTATAAAACTCCATGGACCATCCCAACAGGTTAAAATCCAACCATAAAAGTGGGGAAAGAATCCCAGCTGGCAGCACAGCACCTGGCATATAAATCAGACCTTGTCACTCCCCTCCTTAAAACCTTCCAATGACATCTCAGTGCAATTAGAAGAAAATCCACACTCTTCACTGTGATCTGCAGGCCTCTGCCTGCTCTGGCCGCCACCACCTCTTTGGCTTCACCCCTTTTACCCTCCCCTTACTCTACTGCAGTTCCTCAGAGATAGCAATGTTGCATCCACCCAATGCCCTTGCATTTGATGGTCATTCTGCCAACAAAAATCTTCACTCAGACTTTAGCTAAACAATGCATTGAACAAGCACAGTACATAGGATGTAATCAAGATGCAACTTAATTTTTTGATAACCATGGACCTTTAAAATGTATTCGGTCTGGGCGCAGTGGCTCACACCTGTAATCCCAACACTTTGAGAAGTCGAGGCAGTTGGATTACCTGAGGTCAGGAGTTTGAGACCAGCTTGGCCAACATAGTGAGACCTTGTCAGTCCCCTGCTTAAAACCTTCCAGCTCTCTCTCTACTCTACTCTGCTCCTCTCTCTACTTGCTAGCTGCTATTTCAGACCCTGCTAGAGTTAAAATTGTGGTAGGAGGAGGAGTAAGGAGTAGAACAGCTCTTTTTGAGCTGGGTGGCTTGCCACCACCTGAGCCTGGCAGTTAATTAGAGCTTCCTTAAAACCTTGTGGTCTTTACTTAAAAATACAAAAATTAGCAAGACGTGGTGGTGTATGCCTGTAATTCCAGCTACTCTGGAGGCTAAGGCAGGAGAATCACTTCAACCCAGGACAGGGAGGTTGCAGTGAACCAAGATCATGTCATTGAACTCCAGCCTGGGCCACAAGAGCGAAACTCCATATCAAAAAGAAAAAATGTATTCAGTAGTGGTCATCCTCACTTACCTGGATGGAAACTTGGACTAAACTTTTCTGTGCATTCATCCTATTGTCACTTTCAAGCATAAAACACTATTAGATTCAATCATGTGAATGTGTCCAGCTCAAATTATTAATTAGTGCTTCAATCTCTACTCAAAGGCTTCTCCCTTCCCTGCACACCTAGACTTGTGTCTGGGGCCCCTGTTTTTGAGGAAGGGAAACACTCTTTCTCTCTGCTCTATTCTGCTCCTCCCCCTGCTTGCTAGCTGCTGCTTTGGATGCTGCTAGAGTTAAAATTGTGGTGGGGGAACAAGTAAGGAGTAGAACAGCTTTTGTTGAGCTGAGTGGCTTACCTCCATCTGAGTCTGGCAGTTAATTAGAGCTGACTTTCATCTGCAGGTGCTTTTGTGCATTCTTTGGAGCCCCACGTCCCTGGCTGGGGACCTCTTATCTGAAGCACTCAGGTCCTAAGTGATGTGATGCATCTCTTGGGCAGGCTGTTTCCCTGCCAGAAGGACCTCTCTTCATTGAAAGTCCCCTCCACCCCACATAAACTATTAGCATTGGAGTCCCCTCCCTTTCTGAGCCAGGACTTTACAATTATATATTGAATGCAACCACTTCTCACATCTCCATGCCTACACTTTGAGTTCAAGCCAGAATCATCTCTTGCCTGGTGTGATAGGCAGACTTCTAACATGGCTTCTCAGATTCCTACCCGCAGCGTGCACACTCCCACTCCATGTGAGTGTGGGTGGGATCTGTGGCTGATAGAGATCCCCCACATCAGATGATACCCTAACCCCAGCTGACACCTTGACCAAAGTGTTGTGAGACCCAAAGCATAGGCCCCAGTTGGGCCATGTCCAGACTCCTCAGCCATGGAGACTGTGAGATCATAAACACATGTTGCTTTATGCTGCTAAATGTGTGGTGATTTATTATGTGGCAATACAAGAACTGTACATTTGGATTATTGTAATGGTCTTCTAATTCTCATCCTGCCCTGCTCTTGCTTTTCTTGAGTTTATTGTCAACTCATGAATGATCCAAATTCAGCAGTCCTCTCCAAGCTCTGCCACAAAAACCTCCCACCCCCTGGCCTTACCTCAACCCTCAGAGCCCTATACCCATCGCTCTATTTGTCATACTATCTGAAATTACCTCTGCTCACAAATGTAACTGAAATGCCAAGACTTGAATTGATGGCAAGCAGAGGAGCTGCCTGATGTAAATCTACCCTCTCAGCAACCCTTCTCTAAGCTTCTAGCTTCTGGCAACACCACTTCCTCCCATCTGTTTCTGTAGACCCTGGGGAGGTCACTGCTCCTCCAGTTACTGATCTCCAGGCTACCTTAGAATCTCCCTTTTTCCTTTTTTCAATTTTTCCATAGGCATGCAACCAATTTCCTATATTAAATCCCCTCTGTTTGAAATACCTACTGTTCTGATGCAAGTAGCAAAGATAGAAAAAAAAGGAAAAGAATGAAATACCTACTGTGGATTCTGTTTCCTTGACTGATTCATTCCTCTTCAAGTCATCTTGACTGAGTCTCAGTTCCTTGAAATCCAAAGGTCTTGGACCATAACAGAGAGGTGCTGTGACTTGTCTACAGATATTAATACATTGCAGCAGATATTTGAATCCAGGTCAGTCTCCCCAGTACAACAGCCTGGGATCATACAGACAAAAAAAATTGGGGGGGTGGTGATGTGCAGAATGGATGAATGAACATGGTAACAACAATAAGCACTCTGTCTTCTAACTTCCTGCTCTTGGACAAAAACTGGACTAACCCTTTGCTACCTGCAGGACTTTAAATCTCCTTTCCTTCAGCAAAACACCCAGAGATCAGGCTCTTGTCCAAAGTCCTCTCACATCCTGTTCTGCAATTTCCTCTGAATAAAGTGATTGCACTATCCTTTTGCAGGAGAAGATTAGTCTTCTCAGTCGGGTGACAGGAGCCAAATGGGAGGTGAAGCATTCTGCCTTCGCTCCACCATCTGTTAACATAACCCCAAGCCACCCTCGGGTTTGTGCCGTCCCCGCTTGGCTTGCTCTGAACAGGGCTGCCGATGCCATGATTGCTTTTCTTTCAGTGTGTGAATATTCACTTTCTGAGTACAGCCCGTATTCCCACTTACTCCTCCTGACTCTTTAGAGGAAGCATCCAATATAATGTGCATCTGCTGGCTGAGCTCCAGTCCAGGAAGGACTGTGGCAAGGAGAGGCAACCAGAAGGAGCAACAGGGCAGTTTTTCACATTCAGAATTCTTTGTTTCTTTTTACTTTGTGGCTGCTTTCCACATGTTATCTTCAGTCTGGAATGTCATAAATATAAGGCCCACTGGGATTGAGTTGACTTCAATAAGACTACCCTTTATTGCTGCAAAAAAAAAAAAAAAAAAAAAAAAAAAAAAAAAAAAAAAAAAAAAAAAAACACAAGACCTGACGATTTCAACATACATCATACATCTCTTTGGAAACTCAGAAGTAATGTAAATATGATCATGGAATAGGGTCCAATATCCAAGCCAAACACCTCCCTTTGGATCTGCTCAGAAGAGAAGGGTGCAGGGGAGGAGAGTGACCTACCCCTGCCTACGACACCTGCACAATCTCATTTATGAATTTCACAATAAAGGTGAAATGGACGTTATGGTCCATGGTAATCACTTCTTTTCAAATCATTTTACACAACTGACATCACAAGAACCAAGAGAGTCAGGAAATGCAATCCCTTCTGACGTCTGCACAGAAGATTAACCACCTCAAAGAAATTAGGAAAGTGTCTTAATAACAGTGACTTGAAGACACTGCTATTCAGTATGTTAATGAAAAATCCATTGATGTTTGGCATTTATCAAATGTCAAAAATTAAATTTAGCTGTCCTGTGATTTTAATCAGTGTTAACCCAGTTAAGCCAGCTGGGTTAATCATAGCTGCCATGATTCAAGCAGACACCTTCATCTGCATATCTTTTCATGGCTAACATGCAGAGAAAGGTGTGAGTGGTATGTAAGAATTTCATGAGAAGGCAGTGTTTGAACTGGACTTTGAAGGAATTTGACAACTGTTCAAAGGAGAGACGCTCATTCCAAAAAGAATGAACAGAACATGCAAAGTGGTAGAGGTTTAAAAGAACAAGACACATTCTCAGAATAGCAAATAGTCCAGTTTGCCTGGAGAGTGATGAGATGAGAAGGGAGAAGCAGGCAGGGGCTTGGTGGTGGAGGGTCTCAAAGTCAGAGTTGAAATCATTCTATGGAAATTGGGAGTTATTAAAAGCTTTGGAGCAAAATGTGACATGATTATATCTGGGTTTTAGAAAGAACTGTGGGATCAGTGGGCAGAATGAAGGATGGAAGTGTGGGTAGAAGGATTCAGGAGATATTTCAGGGGTTTCTTGTAGGCTCTGTACCTTTATTTGAAACATCATAAGGTCAGAGAGAACAAAGTGAGCTCCTGTGACATTTCTGCTATAGATGTGAAAAGTATGATCAGATCACTAGATCACCGTGGTACGAATAAAGCTAAGGTTTATGACAGTTTGACAATACATGCAAAAGCAGATTTCACGCTTCTGTGATCTTTGGTAAAATCAAAGGAATAGCATTAGCACCCAGAGCGATAAAGGGTGATGCTAATGAGGATAAGGTAATGGGACTCAGTCTTCACAGAGCCTCATCAACCCCAGTGGGGAAGAAAGACATCTTGAGGAGTGGGATGTAGAGGGATGATGTGTGTAGGAAAAGTTAGTGGACAGTTTGCATAACTACCTGTGAGTAAAAGCACAGCATCTTTGAACAGAATTCAGATTCTGGAGTCAGACAATATGTGTGGTGGTTTTAAAATAGGTCCATGTATTTTTTTCAACACTTCTCCCTTAAAAAGGCAGCCTAAATCCCTTCCCCTTGAATGTGGGCTGTATACATATGAATGAATGAATGAATGAATGAATGAATGAATACAAGATGGAAGAACTGATGGTGTGTAACTTTCAAAAAAAGGTCATAAGTGACATTATAGCCTCTTTGTTGTTACCTCTCACTCTAGAGGAAGGCAGCTGCCATGTCACAAGAACACTCAAGCAACCCCATGGTGAGGAACTGGAGCCCTCCTTCCAACAGCCAGTGGAGAATGGAGGCTTGCAGCTGATAGGCATGTGAGTGAACCATCTGGGAAGCAGATCCTATAGCCTCAGTCAAGCCTTCAAATGATTGCAGCCCCAACCAACCAACCAATCAACCTCTTGATTGAAACCTCATGAAAGGCCCTCAGCCACAACCAAGCTAAGCCGTGAGTTCTTGGCCCACAGAAACTACAAGATAACATGTTTGTTGTCATAAGCTGCTAAGTTTTGGGCAACAGATAACTAATACATTTGGGTTCATATCCAGCCTCCAACATACATAAGTGAGTTTAAACTTCAGTTTTCTAAACTGTGAAATAAGGATAATGGAACACATATCCCAGAGTTAGTGTGAGGATTATGTGAGACAAGATACTAATAAAGCTTCCCCCTGACCTGCCAGGTATTGCTGATGGTCAAAACACCTGTCCACTTATAATCACAGTAAATAATTGTCAAGTGCAGGCAACCACTGGCACCTACTTTGACCCAGAAAGAATGAGTGCAGCTTTGGAAGTATGAACTGAATATTAAAAGTGTCATCATGGCCAGGCACGGTGGCTCACGCCTGTAATTGCAGCACTTTGGGAGGCTGAGGCAGGTGGATCACCTGAGGTCTGGAGTTTGAGACCAGCCTGGCCAACATGGTGAAACCCCATCTCTACCAAAAATATAAAAAATTAGCCGGGCATGGTGATGGGCACCTGTAATCCCAGCTACTCAGGAGGCTGAGGCAGGAGAATCGCTTGAACCCGGCAGGCAGAGGTTGCAGTGAGCCAAGATCATGCCATAGCAATCCAGCCTGGGCAACAAGAGCGAAACTTCATCTCCAAAAAGAAAAAAAAGTGTCATCGTTACCAGGTTCCCCCATTGGCCTCCAGGCTGACTATGGTTAACTGGAATTCTGGGAAAATGTTGTAAAAATAGAGGTCTTCATGACTTTGTTGACTTCAGAGTTACCACCACTATCATGGAAGGAAGTAACATGTTGATTCAAGACCAATATTTCAAAAGGAATACATTTTGAAAGAGTTTTGTATGTAAATTATCTTGCAGTTTTCTTCCAGTTTAATCTCTTTGCAACCACCATAACAACCAACATCCTGTAACTAGATATGGAGAGCATCTATCTGGGATTTTATCTAGTGGTTTTATCTTCTTGTGTCCTCCTGGGAGCATACCTCTGAGTGCTAGGACTGGAATGTGGGCACACCTGATATCTTGGCTCCAGTCCTCCTGAATGACTGAGAAACACTAACGTTACTTAAATCCTAATAATATAATCTCAGGATTGACACAACTTCACATCTGGCATTTGCACCATGGAGTATGCTTTTAAAGGGGAATATTCAAAGGGAATTGGCAAGAAAATGCAGCTTTATTTCTTTCTCTACAACTGATCTAATCTTCTTCACCATCCTCCATCCCTCTGGCTAACAAAGGGCTGGAGGTAGGGGAGAGGGAGAAGGATAAACCTTAAACTTTCCAATCAATAGTATTGTGGTCTCTGACAGCTTGATGGTCTCTTCTGAATAGCTCAGTCCCTTTCTGATACAATCTTCATCTCTCAGATTTCTTCCCGCTACCTCTGCTTCTCTTAGAGATGGTGTCTAACTGTCTGGGGGCTCCTGAGCCCTTGTGCTGAGAAAATAAGGGGACTTCTTCACAGAATGGGCAGCCAGACTGTCTGGTCTATTGGAGGGGGTCATGTTTACCTCCTTGGAGTCCAGGGTTCAAGCCATGCACACTCTGGGCCTTCATCCTCATGCCATGCCTTGGTGTGTCCTCTATACTTCCTGAGCTTCTGATCCACTGAACAGCACACACAGCACAGACAGGCCATGGGAGTCCACGGCATCTCCCCAGGCTTATATATCAGACCTCACTCACAGCCAAAGCTGTACCCTCCTTTCTAGTCTACAGTGGCCTGTCTCTGAGCCAGAGGCTGGGCTATGCCTTCAGAACTAGATCACCCCTCTGACTACGCCCGGGGGAATGGTCCACCCCCTTCATCTTTTTAAGTTCTCCAATCTCTATGAATCTTTCTTCAGCGTTGCCAGTTTAGGGGCATGTGACTGGAAGGGCACAAAGACTGGCATTTGATTGCCTTGCTTCCCCTCCATCCTTCTCCTCTCCACCCTTCTCCAGGTTGGAAGGGATGAGCTTCAGGTTCTTTTCTCATTGGCAAAGACTTCCCCTATACCAAATCCTCTTCTTCCTGGGCACTAGCCTGATTAAAGAAGAGGAACCCCTTCTATACTACCAAAGAAACTCTATGTGTTGACCCACCAGGCCTGGCTCTCTTAATACACAAACTCTGAAACAACTCAAACTAGAAATTACTGTATTAGTTCGTTTTCATGCTGCTAATAAAGACATACTCGAGACTAGGTCATTTATAAAGGAAAAAGGTTTAATGGACGCACAGTTCCGCATGGCTGGGAAGGCTTCACTATCATGGCAGAAGGCAAGGAGGAGCAAGTCACATCTTACATGGATGGCAGCAGGCAAAAAGGGAGCTTGTGCAGGGGAACTCCTCTCTTTAAAACCATCAGATCTTGTGAGACTTATTCACTGTCATGAGAACAGCATGGAAAGACTTGCCCCCATGATTCAATTACCTCCCACAGGGCCCCTCCCACAACACGTGGGAATTCAAAATGAGATTTGGGTGGGAACGCAGCCAACCCATATCAAAATATTACCCCTGTTATACAAATTCTGGAATAAATCATCCATTTGGGAGGCTAAGACTTGCATGTTTCCTGACCTGCAGAGAGCTGGCTGTGCTATGGAAACATGGATCTGGTAAGACTCACAATGATTTGAATAGCAGTAACGGGGAAATGTGCAGAAGGCCAGCACATAACTCTCATGTGCCTAACTAGTCTTTGTTTTTAGCACCTCCAAAATAAGAACATGAACCTACATGTTCTGATATAAGGGAGTGAAGTTTCAAATAGTGATTTCTTTTTTCTTTCTTTCTTTTTTTTTTTTTTTTTTTTTTTTTTTTTTTTTT